TTTAATTATGTAGAAATCATTTTTTTGTAATATTTAAATAAACTTTATTTAACTAGATAATGCGTTATAATAAATCTTTTTTGCGGTATTAAATACCTTTTTTCTATTGTTAGCGTCGTTTTTTCTACAAACGTAAAATAAATTTTTTGAAAAGATTTCTATCTTGTTACGCCAAAGAAGTATAACTTGTAACGCACGTACACCCACGTTTTTTTTGTATGTTAAAGCTAGCATCCGTCCGTCGGAACTGGATGATCTTTATGTCAAATAATTCTTGTATTACCGGGCATGAGGCTCCTCTGATGTTAAGTGATACCGCCTATAGATAATAATAAAAACACGTGGCATTTTAATTAACAATTCGTCATTTGAGATTTCAATAAAATATTTTGCAAAAAATTTAAAATACTTATATTTCATACATTCTCTGTACGAAATTTTAATATTAAAAATAGAATATCTATAAGGTAACAGCCCGTTCCCACTAGTCGAAAGTCGCATAAGACTAAAAGTCGAATGCTCTGGTCACCATACACTTTGTATGGAGCTGTTCACATTAGATGAGACGCGACTTTTAGTCGAATACGACTCAAAAAACCATCCGACGGGCCAGCGCCCGTCTTAAGACTAAGGGTGAGATCTATAGTGCGCACTTAGACTTTGCTCTGACTTAACTATCGAGCTAAGACACAGTCGGTATTTATAGAGCAAACTACGAATCTCTCCCTAGTGTTGGCTTAGCTTAATCTCAAGTCCACGAAATCGACGACTTACCAAAAACTTTGACTATAAGCCTAACAAAAATAATGGCCCAAAATTTGCTTTACCATCATATCTTTTACTGGACTTTTTATTTTTGTCGGTTTTTAATGAACGGTGTTGCCATTTTGTATCGGAGTTCCATAGACTTTGGGAAAAATAGAATTTGAATTCAAAGAAATTATAAATGATCTTGATAAATACCTATGAAATGCATGAAATAAAATAATTACACATTATTATGGTATTTATTGTTGTTTATTTATATTATTTATGTAATTGTTCAAACCCCATTTTTGAGAAATCTTAAAAATAACTGGTGTGATTTTGTATGTCACCTGGCAGCCCTGGCAATTGGCATATTATAGTGACAACGAAATTCAAACTATAACCTAACCAAAACATTGCGATCCGTTCTACGTAATAAAATTATTGTCATCTTTAAATAATTAATACATTTTCTAAAGGTTACTCGTGAATTTCTAGTTATTGCAATAATAAAATAAATGAATACATAAATAACAATAAATTGAAGATATATGTGTACCGTTTTAGATTTTTAAATATTTGTTATTGTTAACTTTTTTAAAGGATAATAAACAAAGTATTGCATGAAATGAAACATCAATTTGTATTTTGACATTTTCTGTCTTAGCTTGGGCTTAGCTTAATCTCACCGTTAAAATGTCTATAAATACGAAATCATAGTTTAACCTTAGTGTACACTAAGCAAAGTTTTTCGTAAGGTAAGTCTGAGCAAAGTCCAAGTGCGCACTATAGATCTCACCCTAAGGAGCACAATTGCCAGGGCTGCCAGGTGACATACAAAATCACACCAGTTATTTTTAAGATTTCTCAAAAATGGGGTTTGAAAAATTACATAAATAATATAAATAAACAACAATAAATACCATAATAATGTGTAATTATTTTATTTCATGCATTTCATAGGTATTTATCAAGATCATTTATAATTTCTTTGAATTCAAATTCTATTTTTCCCAAAGTCTATGGAACTCCGATACAAAATGGCAACACCGTTCATTAAAAACCGACAAAAATAAAAAGTCCAGTAAAAGATATGATGGTAAAGCAAATTTTGGGCCATTATTTTTGTTAGGCTTATAGTCAAAGTTTTTGGTAAGTCGTCGATTTCGTGGACTTGAGATTAAGCTAAGCCAACACTAGGGAGAGATTCGTAGTTTGCTCTATAAATGCCGACTGTGTCTTAGCTCGATAGTTAAGTCAGAGCAAAGTCTAAGTGCGCACTATAGATCTCACCCTAAAAGTCGCGTCGAATCATGCTCGCATAGGTGCCTGCTTGTTGCTGTTCACACTAGTCGTGCGTCTAATCGACTCGAGCGCGTTGTTACCTCCCTCCCCGCCCCGTTTCCTAGACACACATTCCTACACATTGCTTGCTCACTCCATTCGTGTTTTTTTGTTTGACTTCCCAAAGTCGATCTTTCTGTTAGGATTGGGTGCATCCAGTATTTTCTTGGAATTGAATTTTTTTAATTTTCTTCGTAAGTAGTAGAGCACAACAAGTTCTTCGTCGGCGTCCATGTCGCGAATTCGCTACGTACCGAATGGCGCGAAACTACGATCTATACGACTCGCGACGCAGTGTGAACAGGGACATCAGACTTTCGACTTTTAGTCTTATGCGACTTACGACTAGTGGGAACGGGCTGTAATTCACTCACTCCAGTCTCAATCGCTCTCTCCCTTTTCTTCGACAAAACGCTTACCCTCATGCGCCTTACTCCACTTCAATAACGTTTTGATTTTTAGTTTTGCCAGAAACAAACATGCCACTTAAATGTCAATTGTCAGTCAGACAATCCGTGGCTCAGAATAATAATTATTATTAGTATAAGTATTAATATGTTTGCTCCATTGTAATGTCGCTTGCAAGACAATGCAAGTTTCTGTTAGTCTTACAACACAGATTAATACAAAACACGATGCCTATATTAAATATATCATTCATTACTTCCTCTTTGTATAAGACCATGTCACCAATGCGAGGAGTCAGACAGATGTACTTATTTATTTAAGTTATCAGCTAACAGATTTGCACCTTAACAACAGGCACCCAACATATCCCTTAATATAAGGGCCTAACTTTTGGTAGTGATTGTAAATGTTTAGGTCGCAAATTCTCCAGCTATTAGCCCTGAGAGAGAAAAAAAAGGGACAAGTTAATGACACTACTTATACTTCTGACAGCCATCTGACACCGGGGTTTAAGGGTCAGGATTCAGAGTAGAGAATTTGCGCTAAAATCAAGTAATTCTCGACCCTAATGAACGGTTTTATATTACTTCAGATCCCTAATCTGCATTGTTGCAAAAAATTACTACTTAAAACTAAAATTGGAAGCGTAATATTTTTTGTAAAATTTATGTTCACCATTATTGACAGACAATATATATGATGTTGTGTACCTACTGTAATAAATAAAATATATTATTAAAAAGAGTCCCTTTAGGCAAGGTTCCAAAGATACTGGCAGCGTTCCCTCTTTGAATAGCTAGACTAATTAATAAGTCTTCTGTGATGTCGACTAATTCTGTAATTTTGATATTTCTTTAAAAAGCCTCATACCGCTAGGACCCCACGTACCAAGGGTCTCGACAAATAGATCCCTTTTACATCCGAACTATGTCAGACGGTTTGCCTCTTTGGACGGAACTTAGTTGGTATATGTTACTTATGGAAGTAATATTTATTTCGAGCATTGAAAAGTGGACAATTTAATTATAAATAGAGCGTAGTTTCTAGGCAATTAATTAAATGACGATAAGAGATTAAAAATATCAATATAATTCGACATTTGTTACGATATAGTCAGCGATTTGCTCTTATCTATTCAGTTATTAGAGTAGATTTGATAATAAATTGTAGTATTTAGGTATATTATTTTTATATCAAGTGGTGACAATTAATACAAAATTGATGATTTTTTTCAATTCTATTTCGACTATTTATTTCTTGAAGTCATTACTTAAAAAAATATAGTTTTGCGTATTTATATAATTAATTTACGTGAGTAAACTAGTAATTGGCGGTTTATCCTTTATAGCGTTAACTTTATCTGTCATTTTGACAACTAACAATTTCAAAAAACCCGCATACGCTAAGACGAAAGAGAACCTTACGATTTGAGGTCGTAGCAATGCTAACTTTTTATTATGACATAACTGTATATTGATAATTAAAAGTATATATTTTTGAATAAATGAAATGGCGCGTAGTAAATGAGAATTATATATATATAAGTTCGTATAACTGCCACGGCAGTTCCCTTCCCGCACAGATTATTATAAATTCATATGAAAAAAAAGCGTGTCATCTGTCAATTCTCTGTTTAACGCGGTCATTGTTTTTAATTGTTCGGAATTGTGAGTTGTGGCTATGCATTTATTATCTTGTGACAAATTACCGTGCTTAACCTAAACCATGCAACCGACTTATAAGTACCAAGTACTTCCTTTACGAATCCGTGGAAATTGCATAGAAGCAATAATGTTTATCGTGATTGTTACTTACCAAGCATAGCGTGACCGCATTGCTTCTGATAACACTACTGAAAATCAACGGACGTTAATATTTTCAATACCTAAGTTTTTTGAAGTAAAAGAAATAATATAGCTTTTTTCGTTATTTACTATTGTGTAACGTTTAGAAGGTTTTCTACTAGCTAAGGCACGCGATCTATGTACAAATATTACTTGATTAGGTATTATTTTGGTACAGCTTAATATGAAAACTCCTTGAATATTAAAGTAAATTTATACCAGGGAGTTTGTTCGCGTGGGAACAAAGCAGCGATTTTATAATAAGCACGCTTTTTATACTAAAACTGTAAAGATATACGAAATAATCTGTAACCTATATTTTAAATTGTCCTTCAATTGAAACTACTATGTAGTGTTGCCAGTTGAAAAAATAATAGTAAATAATCCGATTAAAATCAAAGTAGGTTGATTAATAATAATGTAATAATCTTTTGATAACGTACTATTTAAGCGTTTCTGCTTTATCATCGAAGAAATCATATTATTGCCAAGTTTTTTGTAACACCTTTTTCATACTATTCTGATTTAGCCAATGCCTGCCATTGTTCATTTTAAAATAAGGATTATTTTGTTTTTTACGGTCTGCAGTTTCTGTGGGAATTCCAATCGAATAAAAATTATTATATCTCGCCTTTTGTGACTAGATCAAAAATAACAATGCCACAAATTTGTCTGCTGGATAGGTATAAGATAAAATGACGACGCGTTACTCTTGCTTGTAATACTTAATCTGTAGTCAGAATCATAGACAAGCTACATATATTTACGTTTAGTCAAATGTGATCTGTGGTCACTTATAACTTTAGTGTACTTTTTAAGTTGTCTAAAGCGTAGCCCCTTTAACCCATGTAGGGAATAGAATCGTGACAAGTCTAATTATAAATTATCCACGATTTTTTATATTCATAGTTTGTTCGTGACGATAAATATGTACTTATTACTTTATTTTACTGCAGTACTCATATTTATATCAATTGCCTAATCGTCATAAATATAATAATCGCTTTTGTATTGTTTGCTTCAAGAAGAAATTATGTATGAAACTTTTGTGGCCTTAGAAAACTGACAATACTATAAATGAGAATAATATTTATATATTAACCATAGCATAACTCAGCAATGTGTCTGGGAGTGCTTTGAAAAACCTGTATATATCTTCAAACATGCTAACAACATCTGAAGTTTTGTTTAAAAGTATGTATTTCTAGCTGATCACGTATAGTTGACTGATTTTCATTTATTACAAACGAAAGGTCACGTTCGATAATTGCTTTTATTATCACGTGTGTACACAGTATGTAGCTCCTTGCTATACATTTTGAGTCTGTTTTATAATTAGGTAGGATGGTATCAACACTTTTTTTTTAAATTGAGCCACAATTCGTCTGCAGCGACATTTTTGTATTGTTTTCTTGTTATAAGGAATGTATAAGGGAATTAATAATTCATCTCAGCGTGGTTAACACACAGTTGACACTCACTTGACAATTGACATAACAGATTACAAAATGCACAGATTACTAATACACCACATACTGGACTCATTTCTTTCTTTTTTTTCTTCTTTTTTTTAATGGCTCTCGCACCATTTGTGCTCAAGTATAGGATTTTTTTAATTCGTGCTTGTCTTTAGAAATTCGACCGTGTCCTCTATGCACGGTTTAAGCACTCGCCCGGTACCGCACAACCCTCCAAAAGGCCGAGAACAAATTTAAATTAAATTAAAACTTGCCCTCGAACCGGGAATCGAACCAGGTACCCCTCACCTAGCTGCCACTTAATAAGATCGCTAGGCTATGAGGCCCCAACATTTCTTTTTGTATAGGTACTCTTTCAGTGATATTCTTAGAACTTTTAACGAAGCAACATTTACCCCCATATTCCAAGTCATAATATTGAACGCTGTCAAACTTAATACAGAGAAAATGGTTTTGCAAATTCCTTTGAGAGACTATTTTGGTCCCCGTTTTTAACAATACTATCATACTCTATCGCTGGCGATTCTTCTCTCTTTGGTTGTGATGGTGTCTCCCATGTTATTTCAAAATTTCTAAAACTAATACTACTTAGTTTCAGTGATTTTAAGTTATTGATAGAAAATCTTGCAGAGTTCTTAGGTCATTGATAAGGTTGCAAGATAGAATATTAATGATCGTATTGACATTGAATTGCGTACAATGTTATTTTATGTTTTATACACTTCCTATATGGAAAATATGGATTTGCTAAAAATTAAAAAGTAGTGAGTATTGGTTAACTAAACGAAAGACCAGAAACTTAAAAGCTACTTCACTAACGCCTGAACCCAATAATCAATCCACAATCTCAGATTGTCTGAACCAGACCGTGACAGTCGAAAGATCTCCTATCTGCATCCCAATAACCAAACCCTACGAAGACAATCAATTTTTGGCGACGGATAAAATGCTCTTTGTCGTTCCATTTTACCACGTTTTCAGTCATATTTGATGTATGATATATGATGTATATTTGATGCTCATAATCAATATAAACCAAATAAAGTAAATAAAACCGTACAAATATTTTAAATTTGTATATTTTATTAAAATATACATGTCGATCTTTAAAACATAACAAACAGTTTTTTTAATTATTTAAAAACTGGTGTAAGTTAAAATTTGTTAAAATATTTAACTGTTGAAATCGAGCTTTCGTCAACTGTCATTTTCATACAAAGGTCTATCCACAGACACCGATACGACCTCCCATGGATAGCTTGTATCTACAGATGCCTATTGCAATCTGTCGATTGGTTATTGGCACACTTGTTACAACATTTGGATTAAGATTACTATCTCAGATAGTGGATTATGGATTGAGATAGGTTATTGGGTTCGGGCGTTAGGGACGTCTTGATCGTACTAATATAGGTCAGGTATTAGATTATATCTCATTACATTTTACCAAAAAAAACTAACTTCACTGGCTCTGCGACCCATAAAGGACAGAGAGTACTGGAAGATTCAATATATAAGCAACCCAAGTAACACACTTTCTTCGCCCAACGCTTTTTCTCTTACCGAAGGCCTTTCATCTTTAACCACTTTCCTATCCTGATCAATCTTGACTTTTATAATTCTTGTATTTCTTATTATTTTGTATTGCATCGCGATTCATGAATCCGTGAGATTAGCTTTTTAGTTTTTAGTTTGTTTTATTAATTACTTTAGATTAAGGTTCTATATTTTTTTATATAACATTTGGTTATGCACTTCTTGCACTTTACTCATCATATTTATTTTTTAAGATTTTCCCTTATTGCCTGAAAGAGATCGCTTGTTAGCGATAAGGCCGCCCGTTGCATCCCTTATAATTTTATGTATTGTGTTATTTGTGTTTGTTTTTATGCAACGATGTATGAAAAAATAAAAACAAAATTTTCACATTGCAATTATTTGTCAACCTGTACTATGCTGATACAGAAAATATTCTTATCGTGTTAAAATAGTTTAATTATAAGTTTCTACGTAACACAATTTGTGTACGTAACAATACATGTCAACTGTACAGTACAGTAAGCATGTCAAAAGGAAGAGACTGGCTGCCCACAACAAAGGTGGTAGTGAACTTTATTTTATCTAAAATCCTGTTATTGTATGTAATAAATTTGTTCATTCTTTATTAATTATATTCTTATTAAAGTGTTATTATGAAGAGCCGAAACATGACGTAGTGTTTGTTAATATTCTCTCCTATTGTTTCAGCTCAAAAGACGATGAAATAGACGGAAACTGCATAGCTCGTGCACGCGGTTTGCCCTGGCAATCCTCTGACCAAGACATCGCTAAGTTTTTCCGGGGACTCAATGTTGCCAAGTAAGTGTTATTCTGTTAGGATTTTTAGGTAATACATGCATTATCAAGGCAGGACGAAGGAGGGACTGGTTTAACTCAGACCTCACCTTATGTTCCTGATCGCCCTTCATGGACACTCACATTGCCAGAGGGCTCGCAAGTGTGTTGCCGGCCTTTTAAGGACAAAAAAAAAATGTTTTTGTATGCAAGTTTGATGTAATTCTCTCAATATAAAGAGCTGATGTCGCCGCCATAGGGGGCCGTTCAAAGCATATTTACTACATCTACTAAACTTTGGTACTTTCAACGCAGCGCCATCTGTTAGAATTGTGTCAAATAATAAACAAATAATTTGCAATAAAATAATATTGCGGGTATAAATTAAGATATAAGCTGTCCTATCTTTTAAGTTAGATCAAACTGCACACGGTGTGCTAATTTGATTGAAATCTGTTAAGTAGTTTAGGAGTCCATAGCGGACAAACATCGTGACGCGTAATTTATATATATTATAATTATTATATATTAAGATTTTTAATAAGACATATTTGTATCCAGGGGTGGTATAGCTCTTTGCCTCTCACCACAAGGCAGACGTAACGGCGAAGCGTTGGTGCGGTTCATCTCTCAAGAACACAGGGACATGGCTTTAAAACGTCATAAGCACCACATTGGGCCGCGGTATATTGAGGTAAAGGCATTCCTTTTATCTTTTCCATTTATTGTGATAGCCTTCGTGCAATGGAGGTGTAAAATCTAGACAAGGTAGGAATTAAAATAAAGAAAAGAATGCATAGTATTGATTTGATAAAAATAACATAGTTTTATCATTTTTGTAATGTATATTGAATAGCTGTTATGTTGAAGTCAATATGTTTTTAAAATTATGAATGAAATATTACACCGGATATAGCAACAAGCATCGTAAATGTTTTCTACATTTATTAATATATCTTAAATACCTATTACAATTTTGATTAACTTTGAAATATTAAGTATTAATCGTGGTTGTTTAATGTACTTATGTTTTCTGTTTCACATATATTGTTTATCTATGTAATCTGTTTTTGCTTTGTATATTGTCTAAGTGTTTTGTTTTATAATATGTATGTTAGCTGTAAGATTACTAATGAATAAATAAGTACTTATTCACTAGTAATATTTTTAGGTATACCGTGCGAGTGGGGAAGATTTTCTCTCAGTAGCGGGCGGTGCTACGTGCGAAGCCGCGGCGTTCTTGTCTCGTGGCGCACAGGTGATCGTGCGCATGCGCGGTCTTCCTTATGATGCCACACCACAACAAGTTGTAAGTAATTTTTAGATAAGTATACTTAGAAGCAATTAGCCCTGAACAAAATTCATAAAAATCTTATTTCGTACACTGTTTATGAAGTGTTCTTAGCGTAAACATAGTTTATAAGAAATTGTTTTTATTAATGATTAGGTAAAAAAGTTTGCATGGAAATTGTAGGTTTATTTTTTTCTAACTTTCACTCACTCCGCTGGCTCTGATCCAAAAAGTGTCTTGGACTCCTAAACGAGAAACTTCTAGCGCATTTCCTGTGTCACCTCCCACCAACTGCTGCTTTACTTAACTTAAGATATGCCTTAGTAATCACTTCGTCTTACGTACTATTAATCTCCTCCTAAATCAAGTAAATATGTTTCACATTTTAAAGCAACGGTTTGTAGAAGATAATGGCGAGAAATTGTACTTTACCAACTCATCTACGTAAACAGTTTTCTAAAAAGCAGTTGATATAACCTATTTTTTAGCTGGAGTTCTTCTCGTCGGGCGACGATCCAGTACAAGTATTGGACGGGGAAGATGGCGTACTATTTGTTCGTCGAGCGGATCGACGTGCAACGGGCGACGCATTTGTGCTGTTCGCAAATGAAGAGGATTCGCCGAAAGCGCTCGCGCGACATCGGAAGTTGATCGGCGCGAGATATATTGAGCTGTTTAGGTCCACCACCGCGGAGGTTCAGCAGGTAATTTTTACAAATCATTTATCTAAATCTGTATGAAGATTATACAACTACTTACATGAGAAACTCACTTACAAAAATATCAAATATAACTACTACATTTATCAAAGTATAAAAAGGTATTCCTAATCTTCATTTGTTTATTTGTTTCATGTTTGGTTTTATATGTACCTACTTGTACAAACATAAAGTCAACTTTAAAGACCACCTCGACACTTGGTACGGGCGTCAATTACAGGCTCCAACTGTCGCTCTCTGAACCTATCCCCTTAACATTTTAAACCAAATTTTTTTATGATTGCAATAAATGTAATGAATGTGATGATTGTGATGAATGTAATGAATGTGATAATTGTAATGAATGAAATGAATGTGATGAGTGTAATGAGTGTAATGATTGTAATGAATGTGATAATTGTAATGAATGTAATGATTGTCGACGCTTCGGTGGATGAAGAAATTATGAGAAATTCCCAAATTGTTCCACCGTCACATCAATTATTGTATAAAAAAATTACGTCGCTTCAATGCAAGTGGAAAATATAACACTAGCGTAGATTGTCTTTCCCTTAATAGAGACTGTAAGTACTGTTCAGACACTTTCTTATGTTAAATATCCTTATTAGTAAATTAGGTTAGACTTAAATTACTTCTTAGAGCAGTGTTGGCCCCGATCCCCGCCTGTGCACCAATGAACTTTCTCTCTATGTACGCATTTAACATTTTCTCTAACGGTGAAGAAAAACATAGCTGCATCGTGAGGAAACCAACATGTTTTCGACGGCGTGTGTCAGGCACTGGAGGCTGATCACCTACTTGCCTATTAGATTTAGAAATGATCATGATTCAGAAATCTGAGGCCAAGAAATAAAGAGGTTGTAGCGCCACTGATTTATTTATTTATTTTTAAATTACTTATTAGTCGTAAAGTTCCACAATATCTCTGTGAACACAGTCATGTATTTAAAAAATGTTAGAAAACTTTATAAAAAAAACTATTATAAACTAACAAAATGTGTCCAAAAACCCCTATCCCTCCTGTTATATTTAAAGCTTTTATGAAAGAAATAATGAATTATTTTATTAATTTAGATCCAATAGAATGAGGATTACAAATCTAACTTTTCATTTAGTGTTTTTACATTTGTATTTTGTATGTCAAAGTATTTTAAAGCTCTAAGTACTATAAGTAGCATCATTACTATAATAATAGACCATAATGTAGTTTTTGCGGTTATCTTCTCTAAATTGCTATTTTATGTACAGCCTGCCCTTGGGATGTGGTAAGTTGAGGTCAAGAGGTACAAAATTGTTGAATTATTCCCATAGCTATAAAAATTTAATGACACGTAGTTGTCCACAACCTAACTAACTAAATTTGTAATATTTATTCATAGATTATATAGTGACTAATAGCTGCTTTAAAATCCAAATTCTAAGTTATAATTGTCGACATCAAAACAGACTATAAATTATATAAATAATCACATACATTATGCTTACAGACTATGCCAACACCATAATGTTGAGCACGATTCACGCTACTGTGAATTCACTCTGCGAGCATATAAATATGTCGATAGTATCGGAATATAGTCACAAATAAGGGCAAAGCGTAAAACTAAAAGAAACCACTAAACTAGAAACCACATGAGGGACGCTAATTTACGACCACGATATCGTATTGCAGATTCTTGATCGATCGATCGCAGAAAATTTGGATTGGAAATAATTTTAGATTATATATCGAGTATAGAAAGCGGCCGGTCCATACGACGTATTGCTAGTCATTCTTCAGAAAATTTAAAACTTATTTCAGGTTCTCAACCGATCACTAGAGACCAGGACCAGTCAAAGCAGCACGCCATCTACAGCCAATCCTCCCACAGAAGGGCTTCTCCCCGTGGCGTTGGTACCACAGCATGTGATCACTTCTGGTACTGCCAAAGACTGCGTACGGTTGAGGGGTCTGCCCTATGAGGCGCAAGTAAGTATTCTTCAGTTCAAAGATCTCACGCAACAATGAACTTTCGCTCTATACATTAAAGTCTATTTTGCTCAATCATTGTTCATTATTTATAAGTTTAAAAAAACGTGTGTGTACTTATGTACTTGAGTTAGAAGTTATACTTCTTTGGCGTAACAGGATAAAAATCTTTTCAATAAATTTATTTTACGTTTGTAGAAAAAACGACACTAACAATAGAAAAAACTAAAACGTTGACTATAGCTAACTTCAGGGTGTCGGTTTTTTGTGACGGTGTGTGCGCGCATCATGTTTACCTAACGCGCCAAAAGAGTATAACTTCAAAATTTACAAAGTCAACTAAATAGTTTTCTAACACTTAACACTTACAGGTGGAACACATTCTGAACTTCCTCGATGAATTTGCCAAAAATATTGTCGTGCAAGGCGTCCATATGGTGTACAACGCACAGGTAATTTTTTTGTATAGTTATAATGGTCCCTCAGTCAAATAAAGAAAAATATACATCCTAATTGGCCATGATAAATATATTGACCCCGTCGAGAGGTGCTGTGTTTCGTAGAGCTATCTCCGAAATTGAACAATAATTTATCACATATATTTCTTGCTTTGTTAAATTATATACCTATATAGTTTTTAGGTAATGTGTAAGTTAGTGGCGTAACTATACCATCTGGGGCCCGTGGCAAATTCTTTTGATGGGGCCCTATCAGTAAAAATCGTCACTTTGTACTCAGTTTAATGTTAATAAACTTCGAGATTTTTAACATACTAAATAACACGTTGTATATGTCCCACTAATGGCCATAGGCCTCCTCTCTTAGGCGAGATTGAATCGTCTGTAGTCCCCACGCTAGCCCAATGCGTATTGGAGACATCACATTCATTCATAGAACATAATATCTCTTGTGTCGGGGGCCCGTGGCATTTTGCCAGCCCTGCCACCCTATTGTTACCCCACTGCTGTTAGTTATAATTACCAAGTACTAAGCAGCTGTATGTTTGCTCGTTAAGGGGTGTGCAATTTGTTTTTATTGTTTGTTTCTTGATATTTTTTCCAAAAGTAGTAAATTAAGTATATTTTCAAAAAGATTTATTTATTACTATATTTAATAATAATGCCCGTTGGGAAACCTTTTTCCGATTTATGAATACCTCTAGAATCTTTTTAAAAACCGAATTAATGTACTACTTTTGAAAAAATGTATTATTCTATTAATGATTATTTACGTAAAACATTATAACTAATATTAATTTGATAACGTTATAGTATATTTTAATAATGTAACGATATAGTGATGAAATAATATAAGAATTGACTATAATGAGTCAGAATGTAGGTAATTGCAACATCTGGAATTGTAAATTTGCACGCCATTATGTGTGGCAGAACATGCGAACTTTAGATTGTACCACCATAACATTTTGGCAAATAAATTATTATTATAACGATTTAGCAAGGCAATAAAAGTAATTATAAATTTCAAACAAAATCCTAAATCTTTATGTAGTAAATATTAAGAACTAAACTTATATAACATATTAAAATATATATATATTTTAAAATTTTCAGGGTCACCCCAGCGGTGAAGCCTTCATCCAAATGGACAGTGAAACAAGCGCTTATCTCTGCGCGCAACAAAAACATCACCGTAACATGACCTTCGGTAAAAAGCACAGATATATCGAGGTAAGTGTCTTGTATATTGGTTATGGTATTGCTTGGGTTTGAGGTTCACATAAGGACTTCATCAATATAGTCGTAGAACAAAGGTATCAATTGGAGATGACTTTAGTGGTTTACTGTGGGGTTAAGGAAATTTTTAACTCTCAAAACAAAATATTCTTATAGTTTTACTAGCTGTCCTGGCAAAAGTTGTTTTGCCATGTATATTATTTCTAGGAAACAAAAAATAGGGCTTAATCGTAGAGGGGTGAAAATTAAGGGTTGTATGTATTTTTTAATGCCACATAATAAATAATAATAAAAAATTTTTTGGGGTGGACACCCCTTATTACTTAAGGGTTTGAAAGGTAGAAAGCGTAGAGTAGCCGATTCTCAGACTGCACATGCAAATGTTTTGAAAGTAACTGTTCATTTTTTTTAAAATTATAAATGACTAAAGAATCTTGTATACACAATAACTAAGATTGCGAATGGGCATCCCAACGTATAGCTCATCCGAAATTATTCCAACTAGGTGTTCCAGTGTTCCGGCGACGACATGAACCTAGTTCTGACAGGCGGCGTCACTCCCGCCACGTCACCCAAAGTGCTCTCACCCGGTACGTTGATATCTCCCCCACCCGCGCCGGCACCCCGCCTTTTAGCCCAACACATCGCGCACCAAAACCTCCTCGCGAGGCAACAGGAGAACCTCCTTTTAGCCTCCCTCCGACCTCCCCTCTACCCCTTCCTACCAAGCTACGCTCCCGTTCGGTCCCCTAGCCCCTATCTCCCCGTTCTCCAACAGAACATACTGCCAACTAAGCGTACGTACGACCGCGCATTTACGCCCACGGAAACTGCCGCAAAAAGACCGTATTTGCAGCCGCAAATGACACCTATGTCGCTGCCCATGCTGTCGTATGCGACGTCTTCACCGATTTTCTCGTATGCCAACACGAGTCCAATGCTTTCTTCGTATAGTGCAATGCCAACTGCGCTGCCAGCTGGTCTTCAGGGCTATGGCTCTGCGCTCTCTGCCTTACCGGCGTCTATGACAAACCCGTTCCCCGGGTCGTTATCTATGTTCCCAACTTACCCGTACTATCCGGGCGTTTAGATGCGATACGGAGCTTTAGAATGTTAGGTAGATTGTTAAGTTTTTTATTTTCCGTGACGCGATCACTTGTTTTTTTAAATGTATATTTTTATAAGTAAAATTAAGATTTCTATCAATTTATAAAGCCAATAAATTTTCGCCTGCTTTTTTCGACTATTGTCGTTATATGAAATCTTTGTTTGTATATTATGAAAATGGAAAATGACACGTTAGATTTTGGCATAGGTTTAAGTATCGTTTTTTTTATAATTAGTTAATTACGAAGTTTATACCTAGATGATAGATAGAGCAACTAATGAAGTTTTAGATTCGTGAATGAATTTCGTGCTTTGGGACCACTTTTGCGACTCGTAAGTCGGAATGACAGGGTATTCAAATGACAAGCTCAAACTGGCATCAAGTGCCTTCTAATGAATTTAGTAAACTAATATTACGGCAAATATTGCAGCTTTTAGGTTAGTCTATGAAATCAATTTGTTGAGTATATATCGACTTTAATCATTGTTGAATTCTTAAATTTTATTCTTTAATCGATGGTTGTTTCAGTGACAAGTAGTGTGTAGTTTTTGTTTTTCTTATACGTTGTGATTTATTGTAAGACATTCCATTTTTGAAATAGAAACGTTTGGCAACTAAGTCTGATTTAAGTCTGATAGGTACGGTACTTATTTTGATATTTTAAGGTACTTAAACACGATTTCAGTACAATACTTTTGTGATTAGGGCAACTTTGTTAATGCACTCTAGTTAAGACTTAGTTATCGTTAGTTGGCAGTGTGTACGTCCTAAAGGCAGCTAAAAATCCTATTCTCATACCTTCCACTTACCTTCTAACGTAAAAGGTTGTGTCGAAAATGTGATACTAAATTTGGTTTATCTATGGACTCTATAATTCTAGTAACGTCATTGTTTATGGTGTACCATCGTCAAATTCACATAGGTAATGGGGCTTCCGTCACAAAAAACATGGTGTATTGGCTAATCTATGTTCTGTCATATCTAAATTTAATTATTTATTGCAACCTTACCAATTTTCACTGTATGTTAAAATTCTAAACTAAACATTCAAAATGGCGGCTGCCGTCATGTGTCAATTAAAAGTCAATTCATTGAAGGATATATCAAAGAGGTCTTATTCATAAATGCACTACAACCCTCTTATTACATATGTGACTTAAACAAAATATTATATATATCCTTGGCTTGTAGTACGTTTATTAATAATACCGTAAATACGGCAATAGCAGTCAAATATTTCTTATAAATAATTAACTAACAATTAATTGGTAACGCCGCAAAATCTTAGTTTAGATAATCAATTATATGTTTTATTGTTATAAAGATTGTAATTTGTTTCTTATCCTTGTGTGATGGAAAATGAGCATGCATCGTTCGGTAAGTTTGCACAGTTTGATAATACGAATCAGTGATACAGTATTTTGGTTTGTACAGGGTTTGGTACTTTTGTAAGATCAGTCTCAAAGTACTTGACTAGAATATTAACATTAGGAGAAGTCAGCTATTCAGATTAGCATGTATACTATACAATAGTTCGCGGCATAATCTAGAGGTGGATTGCGCAAAACATAGATAAAAAATAGAAGTCCATAGACAACTGTACGACTAAGTTCGCTAGTCTCTGCATCTTACTCTCAAATATTTCATTCATGAACTAATACTTACTATACTCCAATTTTTGATTCCGTAGAATTCTGACATTTAATAAGTGTTGCTACTAAAAAAAGTTCTCCACCGAAAAAGGGACAAGTTTGACTTATTTGAGGGCAATAAAAAAATGCTACGTATTTTTTATGTTTTACCTACAAAAAGGTAAGTCTAAATATTTACTTACTCAAGTGACCTAATACAAAAATAACATATATTTCAATATCACGAACAATATATCGAATTAACTTTAATTACTTTCTTTTATTCTTTAGCTGGCATCACTGCCTACTAATTCCAGGTTTAGTAAACCTTTTAAAAAAATAAAATGTTATCTTTACTAATTGTGCGTTTTTTACTGTTTGTGATGAAAAGGAACGTAATTACCACTCGCCGTTAAACCACTTTTAATGTGGAGCACCGCACTTAATAAAATGGATACATTAACTAACAATAAAATGTATGTATAGACTCAGATGTTCAGACTCGTATTGAAATTGAAAAATGTGCCCGGCCAAAAAGGTTTACCATCACTGACATGTCAAAAAATGATAGTTGTCAGAATTCTACGGAATTCAAAATCAGAGTATAACATTATTTCGATACTATAACACAAAATAATATCCTACTAAAGCGCTGTGTCACTGTGACCAGGTCCACTTAATCAAATTACTCAATCAAATGTTCCTTTCAGGTTATGTTAGCTTCAAGTATCAAAATCATTAAATGTTCCATCTTCAAAAGTTGAAACAATACAACAATAAACTTTTGATGAATAAAAACATTGATACTCTGTTTCATTGGTTATTAAGACATAATATGTCTATATAAAAACTCACTCTAGTATAAGATTATAACATCATACCTGTATCACTGGTTAAGGGTAGCATGAATATCTATAGCTTTATGTTAAGGTTGTGTGCATGGTGACATATTTAATCATTTTCCAGCACACAAATGGCCGGACACAAATAATTACGTATCTGTATTTCTATGTCCAAGACCAAGGAGATATGATACATTGGTGATTACATAAAGTATCAAAACGTTGCAGTCCGTGAATCACCAGTGTTTGTCATATTTTTACTCTGATTGTACAAGACAATTTGGCATAATGGTCAGTTAACATGGGATTCTGCTATATTATCATTTCACTAAGCTGTAGATTTAACATTAGGTAACAATAAATTTGTTTAATAGCAGACGCAACTATTGTAGTAATCTCGCTCAAATATGTGCGAATTTAAATATTGAGGTCGGTCGTTGTCTGTTCTTCCGCGAGTTAAATGGAATAGTTTTAGCGGATTCAATGCGTTAATTATAACGGCTCGTGTCTAAAGTACGAGTTGTATTACGACTCGTTTTACGTAGCGAAAACTACTAGTATTTTAGTTATATTCTATACAAAATGTTGACAGTTATTTTTTCAAAACTGGCACCAATAGACCCAAGATGGTGGGCGCTTGAATCCGTTAATCTATTTTTCATTTAAATTATCGTTTTGGTAATGGCCAAATGAATAAACGGTTGCTTCCATTGCAATATATTTTGTTGTGGTAAAGGGGTTTTCAATCAAATGAGGCTTGCTTAAGACTTAAACGAATAAATTCTTTGAAATATCTTTTTCGCAAGTTGCATCTGCATACCTTCTTTCTCGCTTCACCACTGATAATTGGGAAATATTGTATTTACAAATTACGAATATTTTTTTAAACATACGCACGTCACAGCATAGATCGTGTGACTGGGACTTGCTCGTTTTTGAATCGTGTTTAATATAAGAACATTTCTTATTATAAGGGACTTTTGGTTCATTAATATTGAATACTTAATAAATCAATTTGTCGTTATTCCGATATTGTGCGTTTCACTGGTATTGGTTGGTTGTGCTATTACGTTAATTGTGAAGGCTTGAATAATGCTTGACATTTACTAACATCGTCGGTTTGGTATCCACTGACTGAATGACGAACTAGACTGTTGCGGTTACACTTACAACGCTAGCAACTTGCGTTGGTTATATGTATACGTTTATTATTTAAGATTTATGTAAGTGATTTGACAATTACGAGAGTACGGCTGTTTGTCCACCACCGCCGTCACCGGGACGTCACCGAGAACGAGATTATTTCGGGCCGAGATTAAGATGACGTGACGGCGATCGTGTGTCCACCGCGCCGATATATCAGTGGCTCAGTTTTTTGAAACAAACGTGTTTAGCTGAATTTTATACATGCATAGTAATTGATAAATTATTCCCCTCATGCTTTTAATTATTCGTAACTTTCTTCACAAGTATACATAATAGCACAATCATAATCCCTTTTTGTCCTGCTCCTAACAAAGTTGCTTTGTAGCACTATTTAAAAAACCTCTTCAACCAAGTGATTTGTGTTTTAAGCACAATATGGGCTTTAGACTAAAAAATGTATCTGAGCTTACAGCGTTTAAACCATTATTTTTATATTATAGCCTATTTCCGAAACTGAAGGTTAAATTCAACTAACGCTGGAATGGAATAAATAAGTGTGTTATGTAATTGTGTTCGTACGTAGAATAGGGGTAGGTATTTTAACGTTATGTAAGCTCAGTTAGCTAATACATAAAATGTTCTGCATGGTCCGGTGATAGATGAACCGTTCTGGGCTGAAAGCTTAAGTGTGACGTAGAGGAGAGTGTGCTTTCTATAGAAAGTGTATCATGGTGTTAAGGTTGGTTGAATGAAACGTAAGTATCATTGTGGGATCACGTGCGGTCTTATACTATCGCAAAGTGCCTTGTGACCTCAACTGAGACTTTCAAATGTATATACAGAATAGACTCTTATAAAACATTATATTATCTATCGTTAGAATACCTAATCAAGTGCCTAAGATAGAGTAAATAAGTAGCGGATCGAGTAACCCTATTTCTAATTACAAAATGATATTTGTTACAAGAGAAACTTAATAATACGAACGAGATGAACGTCGCAATCGGACAGCTGTCATTTAGTCTTCTAGGCTCATTTTGTTGTGTAAATTTAATTAAACTAATTTATGAAACCCTACTCATTCTTAATAGATCTCTTCAAATAATTTAGCGCGGCTTCGGCAAAGCAAATTCGCTCGAGTTTTTCATGTAGTGGTGAGTTTGATTTGTTTAAATGATTAGCTACTATGGAAAGAATAATAGAAATATCGATTTATTACTAATTTCACTTAGACCGCTGATCCCTAGTGGAGAATAATCTGTTAATGGGGCTAAAATCGTCTATAACTTGATCGTAGCATAAACTTTAATTCTGTATATATAAAATGGTAAGCAGTTGGGGTCGCATAATATTGGTGCAAGTAAAAGGGTACCAGGCGTACATAAGTTTAGTGAAGTCCGCAGTAGCTTGGTGACTAGGAGCTGCGACGTCGTGCGTAACATAACGGTGAGGTGTAAGCACTGCTTTGGTGGACTGTTAATGCGTTCAGTATGGTGAGTGTTCATCATTTTAATTACATTGTGACGTCTGTGAATAAACGTGTATCTCGCTGACAGTTGTCGTAATTCTTACTTACTCTGTGAATTTAAATTCTAGCCGTTTAGAATTGCTGTCAAAATGCCAACGAGATACAGATTACAACATCAGTGATTCTTATATACAAATTTATTTATGGGACCAGTATTTATATAAAGCTGAAATGTGAGGGATCCATTTTGGTTATCAATGGAAACATATTTGTGACTAACAAGAAATCTTACGCATGAAGTATTTATATATTCATAATTACGTTTTTATTACTTTTATGGTAGATAACAGGTGTTTATTGTAAGGAATTTATACAGGTCCGCTGACGTACTATTACCCAGCTATGGGTCCTACGTTACCGCCCCCTCTGGTCTACTGGGGTTATCCGACACCACCAGTTTCACCAGCCCATTACTACCATCAGCCACATCACCCACAGACTATGGTAAGGGTAATAAGTGAGTTACAACCAATTATTTTATTGCTCTTAGAAATGTATTTCTTGATTATTGTTACAACAAAAACTCACAATTTATCTAATAAGGGAAAGGTAGGACTTTTTTTATAACGTTTAACATGGATCCCATAATTTATCAAGTAAGAACAATGTGTTTTCCAGATGCAGGAAGTGGTACCAGTCGGGGGCGGATCCCCGCTACCCATACCTCCCCCAGCAACTTGCCCCGAATGGCCTATATTCATGGTCAACTGATAATCGTTAATAACTATAAATAATGCAAAAATATATTCAAGTTATTTGTCAATGTCAAAACTGACTTTGACAACTTATTGTGGCGCTCAACATTCAAGGCCTTAAAAAAGGTACAAATAAAAGTAAAATCACTTGCCAATAAATTATATTCACGTTATATTTTATCTTCGAAATATATTTTATATAAAATTTATATTTTATCAGATTGATATTACAGAAATCTTAAATACCTCTTTATTTTGGTTCTATCTTATTTTCAGCTGCTATTTATATCTTACCTGTGGATAAATCTATTTTTGTTAACATTGTATTGTTTTTAACATCACATGAGGTATTCATTTTTTCTTCCTAACTCAGTTTATCACTGTTATTTAGTAGTTAGAGTTAATATGAATGGATATAATTTAAATAAAAAACAAGCAATAATATTATTTTTAAATAAAACATTTAACATTGAAAATCTATATTTATAAGATAAATTGTCTAGATACCCAAAATTCATAGTGAAACTGATATAAGTGATATATTTATTACTGATGTGGTCTGTGCGGAAAGAGACCCGGTAAAGCGGTTATACGAACATATATAATGCTACGCGTCATTTCATTTTCATTCAGAAACATATACTTTTAACTATCAATTTGTTAAACTATAATGACGTAACAATGATGTCACCATAAATAAGGTAAAATTGCTTTGCTGCGACCTCAAACCGTAAGATGGTTCTCTTTCCGCAATGATTTTATTAATAATTTTCTTAATTTGTCAATCAACATTTTGTATTGCCAGATTGGATACTTATTACATTAAATTTAATATATATGTTATCGAAATATTTAATTAAAAAATTATCGTCTTAATGTTATCTCAATTTTATACTTATCTGATAAAATTATTTTAATTAAGATTGTGTATGCGATAGAAAAATTTAAAACTCAAAACTCATTTAATGTTCTTGTGAATGAAAATTCTAAATTTAAACAATTTTTTTTTATATAAGAACGGTGCTTCAATTCTCTTTATAATACCAAATATGTTATGTCTTTTGAAAGGCGAAGCTCAATTAGTTCATATTAGTTAGTTGCCATAAGTTTAGTCGTGCATAACTTTGAATAAAACCTTTGTGATTTGCTCAATAACTGAATAGATATATTTAAAATTTTATTTCGTAATGCCAAATTCTATGGACTAAAGTTAAGAAAGCAAAAATGCGTATTTTATTTAAAACACACTAATGCACGATATATATAAATTTACACCTTATTAATGCAGTTTTCTAACTTTAGTTTGTTTTTAAGAATTGGTTAGAATTGCACGATACCCTTAGCTTACAGGGTGTTGAGAAAATTTTGACAATTAGTTTGTAATTAGTTATAAGAGAGAAACAACAAAATCTGAATGTCTTCCATACATTAAGTTGTCACAATATAGATTTTACGATCACAGTTCATAGATAGTATTTTATTCTTAAATCTATTTTTATTAATAATTGTTTGCCTTCTGTTTTAAGATTCTTCCTGTGATTTCTTGTATTTCCTATTGTACAACGATTATATTAAGCTACAAATATATTTTTACTGAATATAGAAATCGATATGATATAATACATTAGTTATTACAGAATCGCATTTCGATAAATCTTTGAATGAATGAAATAAATTTTATTTTTATAATAAAAATCTATATTTAACAAAATTTTATCTTTAGTCTAAGGATTTTACGGTCAGTTTTAAGAATAGATAAATATTTGTTCTATATAAAATCTACTTTATTTTCGTTACAAATATTAATATATGTTTATAAGTGATCAATATCCATGACGTTAAATTTAAAATAAAATACCCAAAATAATTAGATTTATCTTTTGTTACTTTTTTACTGTTATCCAGTGATCGGAAAATATTGTTACCTATATGTTATGATCGTAATATATAACGTCAATTATAAAAAATGTAATTAAAACTTTGTTAAGATTGGTTAACACTAAAAATAATGCGGAACATTTGTTGTTTGACTATTGCAACATTGAACAAAAAATAGTTGAAATATGTGTTGTTGTTATGTCGGTATTTAAAATTATTCAATTTATTATACTAAATGTTCTTCAAAGTTCATTACAAATAAATAATGAGAGTTAACGTTCACTCAAAGCAACTTATTTGATTGGCACTCGAAAAGTACCTAAAGAAAGAACGTGACTCGAATCAGACTATAGCTACCGAAAAATAAGCTTTTTTGGTCATAGAGGTGCTTTACTTTAAAGATGTTAATTTCACGAAGTTTTTATTACATTTAACATTTTTTAATAGTTAAATTTAGATAAATTAGAATGTGCAATGTTTATTTTAAATCTTTCGAAATACCAATGTTTGGTTTATCTTAATAGTAGAATTGTTCTAATAAATGAATAAATTACAAGAAAATGTTTTATTTCATGATGGTTTGATAACTTCAGAGTACCGTGATACCTAATCCAAGGGACTTCCCGCATAGTCAAATTTGTTCAACTTTGAATCGTCGGAGACCAAAAACAAAAAGTAATTTTGAATTGCCAATTTCCTCGGTCAGTCGTATTCACTCTTTCAAAGTAACAGACTCGTAGGGGATTTTTTTAGGCCGAATACGATAGATAATATTTTTAATTTGATTAAAAATATATATTCACGCTGTTCCTTTCTTTTAAAATACTATGTTACTTAAGAAGAGTTATTAGTTTTTGGCCATTCTTTCGATTGGCATCATAAAAGTAGGGGGTGTTTTTTTTTACATATAAGTCGGTTCGATTCCCAGACGAGGCAAGTAATTTTTAGAAAATCTTTGAATGCAGAATTACTAATTTTTAAAAATAACATAAAGTCTTCTTTTAGTAAAATACCCTATCTACGATATTTAAGGTACTTTCCCTTCATGTCCGATAACTTTGGGACGCCCTGTATTGGTAGGCGGTAGTATAATTTGCCATTTCACAGACTAGCGGACTATCAAAAGTGTACGGCATTTATCTTTTATTGAAGATGGTCTGAAGTATTAATAACCTGAGTTATTGCCGTACAGATAAAAATCACCGGAAAATGACTCTTTTCTGAGGAAAGTAATTTACCCCATACACCTATATGTTCCACAAAAAATGTACGGCATGCTGGAAAATGTTATCTACTTGTGAAGTACTCTCAAGATCATTTAATTTTATGTTGTTCTATATCATCATCACCTATATGCTAATCAGACATATGTTGCGACCCTTGGCTTTCGACCGCTCCGCTGGAAATATGTACGGCGTTTACGGGTAAAGTATCTGTATCTGTGTCCAAAAGGAATCACACAAATGCCGTACAGTAATAAATGACCTATATTGCTTCTGCAACTGTCGTTGAATTAAAAATTTGCACCGACTTCCGGCACCATCACTTTAGTACGGCACTAGGTTTTTCGACATTTATTTTTAATCATCTATACACTTATAACAAAGCCGTACATTAATAATTAGTCGAAATTCCCCAATTGTACCTGAGAAAGTCCATTCACTCACGTACTCACATGTACCGCTCAGAAGTGACGGCATAGTGCTCAGAGCTATTTTCAGATATAGTAACAGCCTTCTAAGCGTAATTCACGTTGGGTCATTTCACAGGTATTTTTTGTTCATGGGCTTGTGGTCTATAAACAATCTTATGCCATTATTAATATCACTTGAATTTAAGGGCTACAATAGTTCTTAAAAAAATTCTTTGTAAGTTTAATAAGTACTTCCGTAACTTAGTCCATTCTGTATGAATTCATCAGTTAGCGCATGTGGTACAGCATAATTTTAACTTATTGTAACGAATACGTTAATTTAAAATTACAATATTTGCAAGGAAGCGTCTTAATTTATTACGAGCGTGTTTACCGAGATGTTTCCAGTTAAAATTATTATCGATAGACAAAAATTAAACCAATGTATATTTATTGACCATTCCTTAAACCTGAACAGTTGCAATTGCCGTGAATGCCGGAACGCGTTAGTGACGTATATGGGAACATGTTATTATAATTAATTTGGTCTTGCTAGGATTCAAGCAATTCAGCATCATGGCACCATTTCATTAAAGCATCAGTCATCGTTCAGCAAAGAAAGGGCTATATATAAATAATATATAATAAACAAAGGGCATATTGCGGATTTTTTCTGCAATAACAAGGCTAGTATCGTCAGCAAATTGGTATAGAAGGTGCAAGACTTTATACTCTCCTGCATTTCATTAACATGTATATCAAAAGGGCAGTGGGCCAAGAACAGAGCCTTGTGCCATTCTTTCTGATACTAATATTAGTTATATAGAGATATATACTGTCTTATCCAATTGACAACAAACTTCTGTTGCAGAAGATACTTTAGTACGAGTCCGCGTATACCACCACTTTCTAGGGGCATTATCAAGCAAAGTAATGATTTAAGGTATAAAGGGTAAATCTATAGAGGAAGGGCATTGTTTTTTTTTCATTTAAGTTTTTGTTAATTTTGTCGGTAAACTGTACATTTAAAAGTAAGCTTGTCGTACTTCTGCCTGTCTGGAATCCGAATTGATAGCGGTCAGTCCGGAGAAAAAGTTCTCTTTGTTCTTGGATGGATTAGATTTGCAATATAGTATTATTTTTAATTTTATTGTTTTCTTTCGTCCGAAAGAATTTCGTTCTTTGTTTTCGCTTTCCAAATTTTGTTTTATAGCTGTTTCAAACTTTACATTAAAGTCTCGGCCCATGACATTATGACATGACGAAATTTAAATTAAATTCCAGTTTATCTACTATATTGATATCTATTTGGTTAACCCTATTGTTAGATAGTACGAATAATAGAACAAACATCATAAAAACTCTTTTATTACATAAATTAAAACAATGTACATTATAATAATTGCACTGTCGTGTCAATAAATAACTTAAGCGGCACTTAGGTAAGGCCTGTATGAATTGCCGATTTCTGTACTATTTACAAATTTAAAAAAGGTTTAATCACTTTTTAATAAGCTATTGCATTGATTTTATCGCGGGCTTTGAACGCGGCGACCGAATCAAGAAATTTCGTATCGAAAAAAAACACGATGACGTAATATAGGTGCGGCAAATACGCGTTAGAGTGGGACAGAACGCATACTGCGGATTCCCATCTCTCTGATATCGGTGACGTAGCGTGAGCGCGGCCGGTACGCGTAAGAGTGAGACAGACTATTTAGGCGTTTTAGATCAATGAAAAAACTTGAATTAATATCAAAAAACAAATACTGCATAAATAAAAAATAAATAAAAAATTATAACTGCATAAGTTGATAAAAAATGCTATGCAATAGCTTTACCGCGGCAGTCCCCGAGTGCCACACGTTTTTTTTTAATATATGTATCTAGTACTGTGAACATTAGGCTCAGCGTGAACGGGCCACCGTCCAGGCACTGCAGGCTGTCGCGCGGTACAACCACAATCAGCCACCGGTGTCCAGAACCCGTTCTTTGCTGGGAATTCTTACAATGGACTCCGACACGGAAAGTATTCTCGCTCAATGTAATACGTCAAAGCCGTCGCCGCTTTTATTGAGTACATCCAATTTTAACTAGACTATGTTACGTCTGTTTTATGCGACACTGGCCTGTAGCGACTACAAGTGGTGTGCGACGCTACAAAATATGTATATGAAAAAGTGTGTTAAGTCTTTGTCGCTGGCCAACAGTGGCTGTGGTCGGTAGCCCCTTTGCGCCGAGGTAATGCATAGAACTGTCTACACCGAATCCCAACTCTTTCTAGAGATTTAGACACAAACTCCAAAAAGTTCAAGGGCTTTCAAGGTCTTGATTCAGAAACGAGACTTAATGTGACTCCCATAAGTTAAAACCATTTTAACACACAAGGAATTCGAGCTTCTTCTTGTTTCTTCTCTCACCCCATAACATTAAAGCGACTTTGTGACTTTATTTGACAGAGTATTTAGATAGAGACAGAATTCCCAAGGTGTGCTTTCATAAACCTTCACACAACTTGTGACGACAGCAGTGGCGTGGTATAGTTAACCATCTGGGGACCGTGGCAAATCTTCTTTACTCGTTGTATATGTCCCACTAATGGCCATAGGCCTCCTCTCTTAGGCGAGAGGGAATGATCTGTAGTCCCCACTCTAGTCCAATGCGTATTGGAGACTTCATATTCATCCATAGAACATAATATCTCGTGGGCAGGGGCCCTATTGGGTCGAGGGCCCATGGCATTTTACTAGCCCTGCCACCCTATTGTTACGTCACTGGACGAGAGCCTTTTTCCAGCGACTATGTACTTGATGGAAGTAAATAATAAGAATTGGGGCCTACTATATGTTGATACATTATATACATACATAGCGCAATGGAAGATGTTTTAGTCTTATAAAATTAAAAAATATGATGGATATAACAAGTACACCCTAAAAGGCGCAAACTAATTTTTATCTAATATCTATTTAGAAAAACCAACAAATTCTGTATAAAATTTAAATTTGGTTATAAAATGCCCCAATTTCTTTAATTTGGCCTCAAACCGAGGACTTTCACGATATGGTAGACACTAGTCACTGTCACGGTCTTGGCCTAATTTAATTACAGTCCGGCCTTTAATTCACTTTATCCCTACACATAGACGATTTACATTTATACTAGGACTCTTCCTGTCCCGACACATGTGCCAGAAAGATTTGGTGCGGCGCGTGCGCACCTTGTGATGATACCTGGAAAATATTTACATAGTTTTTAAAATGTATATCACTTGAAAAATAAAGAAAATTAAACAAAATGTAGTCGTCCTTTGACGTTTATTTTAATTTATTTTCCCTTATTTTGTAAAATCCTTGTAGTTTTAGGATGTCGTCACTAAAAGCTTTAATGTTCTAAAATCTAATTGAGATTTTTTCACTTTAATTCGCAGATTTTCGGCGGTAAGGCGGCCATTTGGGCCCGTCCGAAAAGTATGGCATGGTGATTTTCGTAAATGACTGCACGACGATGATTAACTGGGCAAAAACTAGCCTGTTTTTTTTTAATCAATTCGCCTCGGTATGGCGGACTGTAAGTCACACCGGATAAGTATGGCATGACACTGCCGCCTCTAATTTTTTTACGGACTATCAGAAAATACTAGAATTTTTGTGGAACAAATCGTTTGACACCCTAATTTATCCGACGAGTTCGACTAATGCCCACGTCATTGGGCCGCCGGTACCAGCTCTATGACCAACATTTTTCTTTTTTTCATTGCGTACTAACCCCCGAAGAACCGCCATAAAAAATGATCCACTATTTTGTGTTACTATCTTCTGGCCTTTGCGGCGTATAAGAAATAAGAAATGATCACGGAGTACATACAAAAATATGAGGACCAGACCTAAAAGGTAGTAGCGCCATTTACATACATAGCGTGTTTTACATTGTACAATTGTGACTTAAGGTAATATTTTTTTAATTGTTCATACTAATATATATTGCAGGTTTATTACCAGTTAAACGCCCCTGATGAACTGGCAATACATAATAGACCTTTACTTATTTAGTTACGAATATTAACCTGAATAATCTGTGGCGTCTGCTGTTGGGTCTGTTGTTGAGCCTGTATGCTGATGGACGCGTTGGGATTATTTTGCATCTGCATACGGATCATGTTCAGCTGGGCTTGCGACAGCATTAGCTGAGGAAATAAAACATTTATTTTTATTAGTTTCTTTTTTTTAACATGTAGTATTGTGTTAAATTCATAACATATATATATATATATATATATATATATATATGTCAGAGAATGCTAGGGTTATCAGGAAATGATTGATTCAATTGACTGTTAATTTTAATTGTTGCTTTGGTTAACGGGGGTCGGGGGTGTATTTTTGTAAAACGTTACGATGCGGGGCGGGGATTGAATTACGCGTTATTGTTAATATTATTTTCGACTTTCCAGTACTTTACACCACATAATGGTAACTTTTAGGAATACAGTCGCTGGGTGGTCATGAAACGTTACATGGGAGGGGGGGTGTGTCAATAATCTCCTTATGGAACTTTGTATTCTACCTGTATGGGTTGTGGTTCTTGCTGTTGGGTCTGCGACTGGGCCTGGAGGATGATGGGCGCGTTTGGGTTGTTCTGCATCTGCATGCGGATCATTGTCAGTTGTGCTTGTGACAGGATAAGCTAGAAAAGAAATTCTTATATTATATATATTTATCTTATGTAGGATTTTCACGGTTTAATTTTGAACAACCAAGCAGTGGGATGGTAACAAAAGGCAGCTACCGCGTAGAATCCTGGATGCGTTGCCGACCTTCTTCAATCTCTCAAATTACAACTATTTTGAGAAAATTAAGGATAATTTTTTTTACTCTTATGTCGTATAAAAACTAAAAATTGAATCCTTTCGCTTTCTTTCTTGAGACAAAGTTAGCATTAATATGAGTATGTATTTTGATATTTTTAGTTTGGTGTTATACCAATTTTTTTTTTTTTTTTATTCCCTTTAAAAAAAAACCTTACCTTTTTTTACCTTTTTTTTTTGTTTGAAAAAAAAAATTAATTTTTTTATTAATAACTCTTATAAGATTAGCGATTTAAAAAGTATAATGTAAGGTACTTGTATAAAATTATTATAACCCAGAATTTTCAGTTATACGCGAAACATTAATTAATTTAGGAAACCGGTATTTTTAAACAAAAATCGTCGTGTGACAAACAAAAAAATGATACAAAAATGTGTTAGCTATGGGTTTCCGCACTCCATACTTACAGGAACATGTTGTACTTCTCCAGATGAGTTCACGACTTGTTGTAACAATGTGACGGCTTGATTGCTGCTACTCGCTGACGTCGTACTTGTTGACGGCTGCAATTAAAAAAAAAATCTTAAGCTTATCATCTCAACGTCCGTCGTTTCATAACGGAGCGTTTTTAAAGGCAGTATTTGCCGCGCACCACCACTATGTGGAACCAGCTGCCCACTGAAGTATTTCCGAACCAATTCGATTTAGGGTCCTTCAAGAAAAGAGCGTACCAATTCTTAAATGGCCGAAAACACACTCGCGAACCCTTTGGCAATTTGAGTATCTATGGGCGGTGTCACTTAGCACCGTTCTTTAAAAAAAAGGGCACTAATACAATAAAAAAGTTCTGCTACAGTTACATCAAATTATTTCCAATGAGGTTTTATTTTAAAATTGGTTAAAAGCATTATTATAATGATCATCAAAGATCACATGTAATGTGTGTGTTTACCTGAACAATTTGAGTGCAAGGTTGTGTCACAACTTGTGTACTCGCAGCTGGAGATGTGTGTTGCACTGGGACCTGAAATTTCTTTCTATAGTTAGTAAACAAGTATTTTATTTTTATCTTGGGATAAGATTATTTTTTTTTACATACTGAAGTCTTACTTAGTTTCGACTTTGATTCTCCCCTTATAGTAGGGGAGCCCAAGCGGGGATTTTGGGATTTACAGCGTGACAGATTAATATACAGGCGGATACCTTGTACCTGGTTAAGTACCTCTACCAAATATGAGCCCCTTATATATGGCCACCCGTGAAGGATAAAGAATCAGATTAGTAAAAAAAAATTATCATCAGACTTTCTCGAGCGCGTCAGATTAAGTCAGGGTGAGTTAATTACATGCTAAGTGTATATTTCACTAATTAGACAATTTGCAAGTAACATAAAGAAAGGTGAGGGCTGCAAAGTTAAAAAAAAAACGTCACCTCGACTCGAGCGTGGCTGATTAATTTTTATTTTGTAGGAAATGTATAATCTGACGATTTCCACGAGCCAAGTCAGAAAAATTCGTCGATAAAGATTACATAACAGTCTATCAATCTAGGTTTATAGACCCTGTTATGTGTATTATACTAGACCATTCTCATTTATGTAGTCTAAGAGTAAGTGAGTTAAAAATACTAACATTAATAGGCTCAGACGGTGCATTGACTCGGGTTTCCTCTCTGACACGGTTGAATTTTATCTCTTGTCTTGGAACTATGTCGATTAGGAAATCAAATTGGTCTGAACGAGATATTGCCATTGCTATATCGTTACGCTGAAAATAAGAAAATTGTTGATAAGCCATTGGTTAGTAATTGTTCTATTTATATAAATTATTATATTAATCATATATCCATCATGAAATGGAATAAATTTATTTCCACAAAGTGTTTACAGTAAGTACAAAGTTCTCATTGTTTAATAATATCACAGCTGGGTACAGAACTCCAACGAGGATTTTATTATATATATTTAGTATTTAGATCAGATTCAGCTATGCAGCCAAAGTGTAGGGTGAAAGATCCTTGACATTTACAATAGGTTCTAAGATCGTCATTAGTCGGAAAGGGAAGTTTCTCTGATTGGAAACTAAAAAAAAAAATTTTTGTGCTGAATTACCTGCAAGGTCCTCCTCTTATTGTCTTCAGTATGTGACCAGGCCCGTAAGGTCAACTCATGAATGAATATCTCACAGGCTTTTGCAAATAATATTGGGGCTTCTGCAGATATCATTTTTACTTCCTCATCCAATTTCATAATTTTTTTTATGCGGGCTAGGGGTAGTGATTGTGTTTTAAAGTCATCCTGAAAATGACAATTATTTCTCAAATAAATATGGTTTTTGTAATATTCCAATACAACAAGAAGTTACAAGTATTAATAAGGATGCATGAATAAATTTACAAAATAATATACATCATGTTAAACACTCACAGCAGTTATTTTCTTTATATCCTCATTAACTTTAGCCCAGTAATTATTAAGTGTTGTGTGGATATGAACTGTTGGAGACTCTTCAATCTCTCCTTCAATTTCTTCTATTTCAGGAGCATTACCCTCTTGATCCCTGTGGACAACCAAAGCTTATTTATCAGTTATATTATTATTACAAATGGAAAAGGAATTAGAAAAAGATTCAAAAAGAAATTTTTATTCTATGTTGTGCACAATTGTTTCATCAAACATTAAACACTATTATCTACTGCTTTTATACATCTTTCGCACCAAGGGAACCAAATAAGGGAGGTATGATTGAATTTAAAAAAAACTGGTGTAAACAACCTTCTAAGAAAAATAATCAGTAAATTCGGAACTGTGTCCACCTCATATTTCATAAGGTCTATAAGAGGACATAGCTTTATAGTGTTCTTGACACTATATTCAGCTATAACATTAATTACTTAGGCTAAACCGAATTAACAATTATTGCTCACTACAAAGTGGGAAATTCTTTAAGAAATTTTATTGTATAAATATGTTATCAGTACATACCTCAACGACATTGTTAAAATAACAATCCAGATTAATTTATAGATTGATAAGAATAAATAAGTCTTTTTTATTAAAGGGACCAACTGGCAAAATGATGACTGAAATATATCAAAACATTAGTGCAGACAGCATGATAAAATATTATGATAATAGCAATAGCATTTCAATAATTGTAAGCGCTTAAGTACTTTTTTGGTAGAACGATTCTTCCAGAGGATATTTTGAATTGTTTTATTTAAACTTGATTTAAAGTTTAAAGAATTCGTAATGGAACATATAAACAATAAACATTGTGAAGAAACTTACGTAGGCACAAGGAAGCACACCGACATCTTGTATTCACCAACAAACGATCAAGGACCTCGTAGTTTAGTATATTTAAACACTATTATGTATTTTTCAATTATGCGATAAAGTTAACGAAAAGATTAGCCGCGAGAAAAGTTATTAAAACACGGTAACCAATAATCAGTGCAATATTTGGAGATCTCCAATCAACAATTACTGAAAATCCGCCAGTTCCACGATTCGTCCACCGATGACCAGTCACAAGCTTGACGTAGTTCGGTGTTGCTATTTTGCATTTCCGGTTGAAAACGAGTTAAATTATACAAATATCAACCAATAGTTCTAGATTTTAATTTAATTTTTATGGTAATAGAAACTACTATCTAACTTTTCTAAAAAAACTCGTAACATTATTTTTTACCCATAAAATTAAGTTCCAACTTAGAAAAACCATTACGCAGTTTTACTATGGAAACGTCAGACTAGGAAAAATGTCAGGGATTTTGACATAAGATAGAAGACGTCATCACCCAGTTATTGATTAATGATTAGCATCGGCAATTGAGCAAGGCATTAGCGTCTTATTAAAATGGCGGCCGCGGAAATAGTATCAAATACTTCTAGTATATCAAAAATAGAAAGGTTTGACGAGTTTTATATGTTAAAATATTTAATTTACTAAGTGTATATTAAGTTGACCTTAATATATTGTAATAAAAAGGGGTTGTAACATGTTAAAAGTTCTTAAACAATATTGGGTGTTTACCTTTCCGTTTTTATTTTCAGTTTTTTAAATGACCCAAGCTATAAGGAAATTATTGAAAACTCATCTACATTTAATTCAAGACTATGTGCAGAAAGAAGGATGCGGATGCCATTTATCGATACCCAAACTGGTTAGATATAGTAAAGTTATTTTTTAGCTCTTACTTAAGAAGTTTGATTAAGCAATATTTGTTTACAAATTAATATGTAAATTATATTTACTTATAAAATTTAATTTCGCAAGATATAATCAATCAAACTTCTATTTTTAGGTGTTGCACAAAGCCATTCAAATTTATTTATGACAAAAAAACAGCGAATGCCTGGAGCTAAAGAAGGACAGGTTTACACATATCCATCTCAACGGTTTGTATTATTGTCTTGATAATGTATCAAGGGTGTTATGTTTGTTACAATCTTTAACATTTTTGATTTAAATAACTATAAATTTAGTTTTAAACAAATAACAGTTTCATTGGCTTGTAGAATGCATAGAATTTTTTTTTGCCCAATTAGTTGATACCCAAATGTCTATCCCAAATGTCTTTTTAGACATTGGGCTTTTATTTTTTAAAAGCAAAGATGATTAGTGTAAACTGTTTTGTAAATAATTCCTGACTTAAAGGTCAAGTAATTATATAATGTCTTAAAAATATATTTTACATAGATGGAGAAAAGCCCGTCGTCAATACCTGACCATGTCATCAACTCGCTGCTCGCTGGGGTTGGATTGGTGCCGATGCTGCTGAAAATGCTGGAGAAGGCGAAAACAGTTCTGGAATACCAGATGGTCTTGGGGGTGACGATAGTCGAGATGGGTCTCAAACAGCTGCTAAAGATGATCCCAAGGTATCTTTTCATTACATTGTTGAAGTTATACTTCTTTAGGCGCGTTATGAAAAATTGATGAGAGTGAAATTTTACGATGCGTGCGACCGTGTCACAAAATTAACAGAATGAAGTTAGTGGCGCAGGTTGGCACGCACGCCGCATTTCATTTCATTATACAAGTGCGAATTTTATATGTGCGTCTGAATTATAATCAGAGTGATTTAAATTGAATGTTTAAATCAATACTAATTAATATTAGAAAATATTTGTGAAAAAACTGTGCTCATCAACCTTCCTAAGTGATTCGATACAATTGAGGTTAACTATCCGTATGTATTATTAATAATGCCAAAGAAGTATAACTTCTTACGCGCGTACATAAGTACACGCACCCTTTTTTATTAAACATGGGGCGATAAGAATATAAATTCATATTAAGTGATTATAACCCACCACCATTGAAAATCCCAAACTTTGTGAGAGCATTGCCAGCTTTTTAGGAATTGGCATACCCTTTTATTTAAAGAGCCTTAGTCTATTAGAGGTACACTGATGCACTCATTTATAATTTTTGCAATTAACAATTACGCTTGTTTAATAATGTTTAAAAATATTTTTTTAGGAATGGTTCTACGATGAACTAGCCATGGAAGAGATGGAAACGGGTGAAGAGCCCGATCCAGAGTCAGATGAGGACTACTACGATGACACATATGCAAATAGACGTAAGCGACGCGGTGGTGTCACGCCCAGTGGACCGGGCTCCAGGGGTGGACGTACACGCAAATCTCAGCCTGAGGAAGGAACGCCGAAGCGAGGACGCGCTGTAAGAATACTTTTTTTAAATAACAGCACATACTTTATATATATAATTCTTCTGTGAGTGTGTATGTCACTGAACTTCTCTCAAACGACTGGACCGATTTTGATGAAATTTTTTGTGTGTTTTCAAGGGGATCTGGGAATGGTTTAGATTCACAAATCAGCCCGGCTATTACTATACTTTTCAAAAACTTCTTTAACATACTGTACACATTTATTTATTATTATGTAATAATAATACAAACATATTCAGTTCTGCTATTTGCTTTATTACAATATAATATTTATATTCTACTCTCTTAGTTTTTTCTCTACCTCATCTCAATGCGGAATTAACACTTGCTTGTACGATGATGCAAAACAAAGTAAGGAAGCCGGCACGTCTGGACAAAAACCCATTGATGTGCTGTGATTCGGAGATGAAGTCTCAGTGTTGTGAGCCACTGTCACATGGCTCAACCTGTTATATTGCTTTTTTTTCATAATTATGTTGATAATTTCAGGGTCGAGGCCGCAAACGGGCTGGTCAAGGTACGCTCCCTTATGAAGTACCTGGTGATGCTGAGAAACCCTTCGGCTGCGAACGTAAGTCTCGCAGGAGAAACTAATCCACACTACAATTTTCGATTACATTTTAAATCTATTCTCAATCTGACTATATGTCTGGAATTCGTTGAAGTAAATATAAAATAGATTGGAAATTTAGAGGATTTGATATTGAAATATTGGATTTGGTTTAAAAAAAAACAGTTTAGCCGAATTTGTGTATTATCAAAATTAATATTGGCATATTTTTTTATACAGTTAACAGCATTCAGGATTAATATTAATATTTTTTTAAGAAACCGGGCTAATGTCTTCTTAAAGCTAAAACATTAAAAATAAGTAGATTTAATGGCAACCTTAAGGTATATAACACTTGTAGCTTTGTTTTAAAATTTCTATGGAATTTTAAAATCTACATTCATGGGATATTGAATAACTTTTTAATTGGGCTCAAAAATGTTTGAGACTTCGATTCTTTTGGAGGATTAATTAATTTAAGGCAAGGTGTTATTATTAATTAAATCGGGTTTTACTATACACAAAATCTTATAAATAAAGTGAAGGGACTAGGGCCCGCTACTTCCGAACTACAAAATTCTAATTTGCATTGGCTATATTGACGTGTATCCAAGGATATAAAACGTGGTCTAAATGTAGTACCACCTTTGTGACCATGGTAACGAAATGAAATATAAAAAGAAATTATCCATGGTAATAATAATGTGTTTTATGTTTTATAATGAAGTCAATTTAGAATCCTATTTTATTTTATGACCCAGATACAATTATAGATTTGGTACCTATCAATTACCTACCGAGTTATTAATAACTATATTAGTCCAAAATCATTTAAAAATATCTAAACATAACAATCAAATATAAAACGGGCTATATTATATCAAATAAATAATAAATACGTCTGATTAGAACATCGCATTAAGATTAACATCACATTGTAAGTTAAGCTAGTAATAATTGCTATGTAATAACCAAATACTAATTCACAATTTTATACAAACTTCGACCATATTTTAGAGAGCTTAAACGCTAGATTCGTGTGCAATAAATAGATATAAAGCCAATGAGAGATACCAACCTAAATAGGTGGTTCACTTTTTTCTTTGTAACTTTGAAATTTGGTGAGAAGGTATAAAAATATTGAGTCACTGATTTTTCTTTACTGTGCCTCAAATCATAATTTAACGTAATATTTTACTTTAGGGATATATATAAAAAATTCATTTAAAATAAAAAAAAATTCGAAAATTACATAATTGTTCCACTTCTGTGCGGGTGACGTTTTTAATATTGGTTTTTTACGCGAGTTATTTTAAGGATATAACGCGAATTTATTACATTTTGTACGTAAATGGACGTTCGTGTTTTTCCACTTTTATGTCGAATAACCTTTACCTTAGCGTTTGTCAGAGAGGTATACGTTGTCTGTCAAAATAGCCATACATTTTGATAAACAACGTGTAACCGAATGTAGGAAACGTGTGGAATTGTTTCGTTATGCCTCGATTAAGACGTCGCGAGTGAGATGTATAGCACTGCGCGAAGTTGAATGGTTTAAGTCTTTGCTTTTGGCTCATATGGCGTTGGATTGTTTTCAGTTGAAATCGTTTTTGTCACAAAAATTGCCCACCGGAACTTTATAAAAACTGAATCAGTTACTATTTCACCTGAAGTACTTATAAGATCTGATTTTTGTGACGAACGAAACAGCGCGTTAAAAAAATCATAGAAATATTGTATGCAATAGCGTTTATTGGTAGGACAAAGTAATTAGCATGAATTCGTTTTTATGTATATTATTTGAAAGCAGTCCTTTTTGTTTGATACATAATTGGATTATATTTCTCAATTGTAACGAATTTATAAATGCTTTCACAAAAACATATCACAGATATACATCAGGTACCTGCTTAGTACTCTGTATTGTTGGATTCAGTGCCTAAACAATTGAGTATTTGAACCGCGTACTGGGTTCGCTAAAGAAAAAACTTAATGTATTCTAGCTATTTGGTTAACGATACACTCGGAGCATGTCCTCTGATTTAAGAGTCGAGATTAGGCGCTATTGAAACCTACTTGTCGCTTAGACTCTGAATAATTCCCTAAATTATAATTCAAAAAGCTTTATTAATTGGTTGTGTTTGGCATTATTTTATTTGGAAAGGTAAAGGATGGTTAGGTACGGTTAAAATGCCTTTAATTAAAGTAAATTTTTGTAACATATTAGGTTTAGGCGAATCTCAAAGTTAATAGTAGTTTTTTAGGAAATTTAGACGAGTTTATTATAAAATTAGAAGCGATAGGAAGCATTTTATTTCGTAGGCTATAAAATGGAACGCATTTAACAACCATAAAATTAATTTTTATCAGTAAAATGCAAGATCATAGAAGAAATTAATGTTTATGAATTAACATTATTAAAAAATAATAGTATTTTTGTACTATTAATAGGTTTTTTATTTAATATCACGATTCAAAGCTTTTTGTTAGGCTGTTATGAATTATAGTTATTTTAAATAAGATAAGCTTAATTTAGCTCATTGTATCTGCATGAGCGCTTTAGTATAATCGTAGTTTGATTTTGTTAGGTTAGCTTTTTAACTGGCTTTTACTAAATAGGTTAAACACAAAACACTAAATTACGCCATTTAACAATAAATCCATTTGTATGTTAAAACCTCAATATTTATATCGCTATTAAGCCTGCTGTTAACACGAAAAGGCAGCAATAAATAAAGTTTAAATTAAAGATGAATTCGAAATAACATGGAGCATTCGGTTTCGAGTGATTTCTGTTTATTTAGAAGTGCGTTTCCATGGATATTATTTGGCTATGATCGCTTAGGTCAATTATGAAACTAAAGTTCAAATACCACTATCAGTGATAATTGTAACACCAATTTTGTACACTGCCATGTACCAATCCGGTTTAGCGTAGTTTGTTACTTAGATTAAGTGTAAGTTAAGTCATTCAGTTCCAGCTGCGTTCATACGAACGCAGGTAGATTGTTGCCATTTTTGAAGACAGGAACAATTTTAAAAATGGCAAGACATCGCGGTACTGAAACGGTAGACGGGGGATAATCGCGATGAAACCTATGAACGTTAATTGTATGTTAACAGAACAATTACGGCGTTATAAACGTGTATGAAAGTACAGTGTTCGTTGCCATGGTTACGATATATAATGCCCAAAGCAGTATGGTCTGCCCACTTCAGGGTATTAGGTTACTGATACTAAATTTTGCTGAACATAAGAAAATTGTGACCAACACAGTAGTACACGTTTGATAATGCCGTGCATGTTTACCGCGCGAAAAAACTAGCGCTTTAAGGTTTTTTGAAACGTAACGGTAAATATGTGAACATTGCCTGAAAATAATGTACAGTTAATCGTTGAAATGTGGGAATTCGTAAAAGTAATCCGTCAATAAATAATTAGTTCTTATGATAAATTGAATCTTCATGTTTTCTTTGCACTGATCGGGGTTTGTTTCACTCATATGTCTGTGATAGTTCTAATTTATTTCATTTCTCGTTAGGAATTGACTCTGGCAATGACTAAAGTTTTGCGTAAAGTGCCAAAAAGGGTGGCCAGATATTCGTATACTTCCATACAAACACAATATGGGTCAAGAAATGTTGGCTACTTTTTTTTTTAATAAATGTAATTTAAAGCTTTGACAGTTACAAATTTCATAGAAATAGGACCGATGCGTCTTTAAAACACCATGAGTCCGTTCAAGTATTACGTAAGCAGATTTACAATTTATTTAAACCCCCCCCTCTTGTCAGCAAAAGTAAGCAAAGCTCTCAAAAATAATAGTGCATTTCGTTTTTAAGCATAGAAAATGTGTGGATAATATCGTATAAAAAAGGAAATAATTACTGTTGACGTGTTCCATTATATACCCTATAGTGCTTGGTAATACTTCAGCGGCCCCCATGACAGTATATGTTTATTGCAATGGAATATGCCCATTATTGCCAATGTCTTCCAAGTTCGAGAAAAAAATGCTTGCAGCATGTACATATCCTATAACACGCAGGAATTCTGATGAAAAGCGGGATGGTTGGATTTTACATTGTTTTTATTTAGTATTGTCTTTGATTAACATAACTTTTATTCATTTAATAAAACACTATTTTGACCGGATTGAAGTTATGTATTATTATAAATTTACAACTATTTAACATAATTTTAACTTCAATCCGGTCAAAATAGTGTTTTATTGTTTTTATTTGTCAATTATGATTAATAAACAACAACAATATCAAATAGAATATCTCAAAATTATTTATAATAGTCGTAATTAGGAAAGCTGTCAGTTTTGACAATTGACGTTGGAGTAAAATTTTAGTCATTGTAGTATTTATGTTAATATTTGGCTAATAATTATTTATTACGGAATGTGGGATGTGCATTGAACATTTTAGGGAAATCATGTTATTCTTAGACACGTTGGTATCGAAAACTCCAAGGTAGAAACTTGAAAGAGTCTCCATTACAGGAAATTAAAAATGCCTTCATGGTCGAACTTTAGGGTTAGTTGCCATAGCAACGTTATCATAACTTAGTTTTACGTGTATGGCCAGTTTTGACGCTTGAAATCGTTGCCTTGGTAATGAGCCTTCCGCTAATAATTAAATGCCTCTTGGATTTTTCCATATCAATGATTAGATTCAAACTATTATTAGCACCCAAAGATTGTTATGAATTTATACAAGAATATTTATGTTGAATAAGAAATAAAAGTATGCAATTCATCTATTTTCTTTAAATATTGATTGGACTCTCAAGTTGTTGGAGTTCTGTCTTTACGTTGCTTTTGATTATCTTCGGTACTAAACGGCCATTTGTGAACGTCTACTTAATTGTTAAATTTGTGTGTTGTTATTATATATGTAAGTGAAAATAGCTAGTAATTCCGATTCTATATTCAGAAACTGATAAGTACTTCTAGAAGCGTATGGAATTTACTTCAATATTTGCGTATCTATTTAGCGATCGATTTTAGTGTGTTGAAGACTCGAATGGTCGCTTAGTACAAGGGTTTTGTGTCCGTGAAACCGAGGGCAGATCCATTGATTTGAAGTCATCAATCAAACTACCCCCGGAGACTGCGTCTTTAGAACCGAACATAGATCACGACGGGCCGTCAATAATATGGGAACAGTCGATCCAGTAACGTTAAAAGATTTTTATCACGTCGTTACTAATAAAATCGACAAGGGTCTGTGCTATTTCAATTGTGTCGTGTTTTTGGTACACTGATGAATGAAAAGTCAATTAAAATGTGCTTGAACCGCATGTTGGCTTTGGAATTGTATCATTTAGGAGTCTGATACAGTTGAAATAGCACCACCCACACCCATATTTGTTGGTATTGATTGATGACGGATAATTTCTGGAAAGCAGCGCAACGTACGTCGGTTACCGTCGTGGTGTCTCCTATGCTCAGTTCTAAGACGTAGGTCTCCGAATCCCTTTTATATTATAAGTTGTTGACGCGTGAGCTTGTGCTATGGAGGCACCATGGACGGTAAGTTCGATCTTCTTTATTAAAGATAGGCCGTTTTTAATTCTTTAGAGTCAACTATTTTATATAGAATTTGTGTCTGAATGTTCTCAACGTTTTGCGGGCTTAACGATTTTATCGTTACGACTTATCGCGTATAGTCCATTAATGGGACCTGTTAATAGTATGTTACGGTTGAAATAGTAACGGGCATAGACAATACAACGGATTTCAAATAAAATTAAAATTCAATATAACCTTGGAATTTTTTTCCATACAAGATGAGAAATAAAACGTCTCATACGACGTAGGAATAGAGATATATTTCGTGTCAAGTGGGAGAAAATACGTGAATTAAAAGCGGCCTTATTCATTGATATTTCAATATTTTCACGACTTTAATGATATATACAATGCCTATATACACTTGCAGTGTGCGGTGCGAAATACAAAACTCGTCCGGGTCTGACATACCACTTTACGCACACGCACAAGGAGCCAAGCGGCGGCGCAGGCGCAGCCGGCAGTGACAATGACTCACGTGACAGTCGGCCAGCCAATTCGCCAGCTTCTAACCAACCTGCCACAGAGTATCAGGACAGCTATGTCACGTTTCTGAATAATCCTGCTGGAGGTTAGTTGGCAATTTGATACTTCGAAAGGGTTAAATTAAATCTCAGATGTTAAGAGCGAATAAATAATTGATTGCATTGTATATATTTCTGCTCCGCACTCTGCAGTGCAACCCTACAATATCCGAATTTTTTAAACAGTTTCGCAGTTACCATACTTACAAACTTTTATAATCGAAACCTTATAAAAATTATCATATTTTAGACATTAAATTTGATAACTATCTTAAATGTACCATCTTTAAAATTCGTAATATGTTCTATTTAAAATAATATAGTAAGTACGTGCCGAATCTTATCACTAAACCTATAGAAGAATCTATATAAAATTGTATCTGTGTCTGTCTGTACGTATTTTACAAAAGCCACTGCAGATAAACATAACCGAATTGGCGGGCCCATTGCGTACCATAAATGGATGTAATATATATTATTAATCTGAAAATTATTCCAGCTCCTGCAACTGTGTCAGCTCCTACGCCCCCCGCTCGTCGTCCGTCCCCCCCGCCGCGGCCAGCATCAGCAGATACGTCATCGTCGGACTCTGCGCACGCGCCGCTTGTTCCAGCTCAGCCTGCAGGTCCGACTGCAGGCGGAAGCACTGTCCGTGAAAGCAAGAAGGGCCCTGATGGAAAGGTATAACAATTTTTTTTTCCTATTGTTCCGATGTCAATTTAGTAATCCGTCCACGGCATTTAAAGCTGATTGCTAATTAATCATTAAATTACTAACGCTCGCTTTCAAATTAAGAGTCATGCGTGGAATGTAATGTATAAATCTTTTAAGAACATTTTTAAACATAATCAAAATGAAAAACTTTTTTTTAATTTCGCTTAAATTTTTTTTGGAGAAAATAATTAATTCCTTGCTTGCAATGAAGCGGTTATATTATAAATTAATTTTAATTATGCTTTAAAATAAAAAAAGGCCTACAGTAATGTGATATCTTTTAAACATAATCATTTTTTTTTAATTTTAGCCATCACCATCCCCATATTGCGACTTCTGTCTTGGCGACGACCGTGAGAACAAAAAGACCGGCATTCCTGAAGAGCTGGTCTCTTGTTCCGACTGTGGCAGATCAGGTAAGCGCCGTGGTAGACCTCCACGAAACGGCCACAAACCCTGTTACCACCTCGCAAACCGGGTCTGCGAAACCCACAGACACCTTAGGGACATAAAACTAAATGGCGTCGTAGAAATCCTGACTTCAATGTCGTACTCGGCCGATGCCTTTGACAGTTTCGCATCTAAAACTAAATTATTAGAAAACTATGATTATGGAGATTATACCACTCCACCCTCGTCCAGACAGAGTCCTGTGTACGAAAGTGTTGAAGTCAAAATTAACGGGTTTAATTAAATAACTGGGTAGCTAGGTAATCTATAATATTCTTAAATTCAAATTATGTTTGAGGTGTATCCGACTCGAAGGACCAATATTTGAAGAATACATATGGAAGGAATTAATAATAGGTTATAGGAAATGTTTTGTTTTCGCTTTTCATATTGCGATATGGGAATTGGATATTATACTAACTTAAGCTAAAATAAGCTTAATTTTTGGGTCAATTATATTTACCAACTTAAAGAAATAAGTTTAATTCTATATCAGGCTACCTAGCAGACCCTATTAGTTTATAGCTCTCAAAGACCAATAAATTTATTTTATTAAATATTTTTTGTGGTCACTAAATTTGTGCTTCATCACATAAGTACATTTTGTAAACCAATAGAAATATAATCTCATGATAAACACTTCTGACTTGATCGTAGCATAATAATATATAAGTACATACCTATTATTGTAAGTACAACATAACAAACCTGTAGAAATATTTGTACTAAATCTATTTTTAGTAAAATTTTGCTGCTTTAATGACCATAGAAGTACTAATACACTCTCTGCTATCTTTAATGTTTCTTGTTTTAAAACAAGATTGACCATAATATCAGTGCTATTTGCACAACTTGTGTGTGTTCATATTTTTCTATTGGTTAACAAAACATACATGTGTGGCGGCTTATCATGCTTATTACCAAAGATTTGGGTCTCGTGCATACATACATTCCATGTTATACTCTATTAGATGTTTACGTTATGGGCGCTTGGCAATGTTGTTAAAGGGAGATGAATATTACAGCTGCATATTTTTATTTAGGGAATTTTATAAAAAATATAGTATGGGTTTGATACTATATATAGTGATTTAAAAAGTTCTTAATCTAAAAATGTTATTTTGTCTAAGAAAGTTGCAATACACTTATTTCAGTTAATTTGAAATTTGTGATTTATCCATAACTTTGTCGCAGCGCTCTATAGGGTTAAGTTTACTTAGTTTAATAATAATATATTAATATTTTGTTTATTTATACTGTACCAGTCGGTATCGCGTATTCAATGTTAGTTCTAGTTATTTTATTGTGTTGAATGTTAATTGAAATTTTAATTAGAAGCTTAGTACTTATTAGAATTTGTGATGCCATGTGTTTGGATGCCAAAAATCACCTAGTTTCTCAGTGTGCATCTCGTCACCGTTTTACCATTATGAAGCCAAATACATGTTAAAAAATGTTTTAAGAGTTATTAGTCACAAATTATTATGATAATATAATAAGAAAATTTTATCTCGAATATAAAAAATTAAAAAAAGGTTTGTCAGGTGTGGGGTTCGAACCCACGCTCCCTCTCGGGAACCAGAGCTTAAATCTGGCGCCTTAGACCACTCGGCCAACCTGACTTACTGATGTCAATTGAAATTTCAGATGGTTTTAATAAACTTGTTTGTATCTTTAGGCATTTTAATGCATTATAGGATGATGACTTTTAGATCTTTATAGAAATCGTGTTAAGCACTCAATGAACTTCAATATAAGGGAGTTTTTGGGTACAAATATTAAATACAAAGAAACTTCTTTACGAAGTGTTTTGCAAATTTGGCTGTTGAGATAAATTTAAAAATATTGAAATTAAAATTTATACCAGAAATGTTATATGTTGATAAAAAATTAATCCCTTAAATATGACAACGATGATAAGCAATTCATCTAGTCAATGCACCAAACAAATATGGGTCCAAAACTAGTTTAGCTAATTGGAGCTTAGGTCGTGCCTTAAATCGGCTGCATTTTAAATGCATTAAATTGTTTTTGTTATCAATTCGATGTTATCTTTGAAAATTTTAAAATCTTAAACCTTCAGCAAGAAATATATTTATACGAAAATGAAATAACTTATTGTTAATTCAATGATTCATTGATATTGAAGGCAGTGTTTATATTATTCATAGAAATTTATTTAATAGGATTTCATATACATTTATACCGGGTATACAAATATACCGACCATTATCTTATCGGAAAGGAAATTGTACTAAAAGAGTAACATTTCCTTTCTGTTTCTGTATAATTTAAACCAAAAAATAATTTTTATATTTTTTATATTAAAGAATATTTACGCCAACACTGTACACATATGTAATTTATAAATATTAATTATTTCTTGGTCAAGGCATATTCGATTAAATTCAAATCAAATTATTTACATATGACCCGTGTTAAAATTTTCATATATTCATATAAGTTATTACATTTTCTAGTTATGAACAAAATCCAAAGAGTTATTGCACTAAAATCTTTTATAATGATATCGTGACAGTGCCCCAAACATACCTGATACGCTTTTAGCTTAAAAGTCAAACAGAAGCTGGATCAGATGGGTTTGTGGCACCAAATACCTACTTTTGTTAATTGTTTTATATTTTATATTAATGTGACCAAATGATTGGCTATGTTATCTCTAGTGTTATTAATAATGTATGTTTGTATACAAATATTTACAATAAGTTATACCATATATTTGTGAAATGTGTATGTATATCTCAACATTTCAAGGACGGAGGTTTGAAATTACTTATTTTTAAGTCTTTAAAAGCAATTTCGTTTTATTATAATAAAATTGAAATAGTGAAAAGGGCATTAATGAGTAGGGAAGTGCATAATTCAAAATGAGGCATTAATTACACCGTGATGTGTGTAGAAAATCTCCAAATATTTAGCTATAAAAGACGGAATGAACTTTGGGCGCGTATTTCAGAACGTAACTCGACTTTTAGTTAGATCTGTGAATCCATTTTTTTTTCATTTGACATTACCTTTGGGTACGCTTTGCAATACGAGCCTATTAGCTCAAATGTCTTGACATTGAATTATTACAATTAAAATGGGACAGGTTTGGGATTTACCTTCGATGGTGTCCGTACGGCGAAATGTTATAATTTGTGCCCAATAGATGGCGCTGACACAGAAATTCCCTTGTAAACGGTATTTAATTAAATTTTATGAGTTAAAAGTTGCTTTTTATTTAGATTGTGCTGAAGAATAGTGAATGTTGCACTTCCTTACTCTTACGCTATATGTGAAATATGTTGAAGTTATTTGTTTGTTATTATTATTTTTCACTATTGTTCGGCACATTTTTACCCTTAACTTTAATTTTTAATAGTGCTGACGATTCAACGAAATGTGCCAAACAGTAAGTGAAAAGTTTTTACTATTAATTATTGAATTAGTTTTAGAATTATATAAGATTAGGGTTTTATCCAATTAACAGTAGGGCGATTCTAAGTACAGTGAAGTTACTACGCGCTTTGGGGTACTTAATAATTTTATTTTTGTTTATTTAAATTAAAATAAAATTATTTGTTTTTTATGTGAAGAAAGTCCCCTGAAAATCTAAATAATATTCATGCAGGTAACTTAATGGGCACTTAGGAAATGCTTCTAAATTTACACGTTCACGTACACACACTAACACACAGACACACACCCACACACATACCCCATGTGTATCCTTATATTTATTGTTAACGTTGCAGCCTGTATAAGAATGATTATTTATTCTCACTAAATTTTTCTCTACTTTTTAAGACCTGTCGATACGAAGTGGTGGAGGCCTGATGACCTGTAACACAGGTACTCTTACCTTTAGCAGGCATCAGTCTCACACAAACTAGCATTTTTCCTAAATAGAAGAAAGACCATTATTTATTAAAAAAAAAAAAAATTATAATAGTATATAACTGTCACTTGTTTATGTACTAAGTTTATGTGAGAAAAAATGAATAAAGAATTTATTATTATTTAAATTACATCAGAATATCCCAGATTAGAGCAGTGCATTCCAATAAATACCAGTGATGAGGAGCATGATATAACGGTGGCAGGTGCTTACAAACATTTTGTTAAAAACACCTTGGCGGTTTAAGAGTGACGGAGAGTTCATTGCCAGTTCTTCGCCGCTTGAGAACTGGCAGTAAATGTAAATTTAGAAGCATTTCCTAAGTGTCTATTAAGTTACCTACATTAAATTTAGATTTTCAGGAGACTTTCCTTATATAAAATACGTTTGAAATAATCGGACTAATTTAAATTATAAGACAATTACGCAACTCCGCTGCTATACCTGAATCGTCCTACGTATATTTGCTTTAAATTTATGTCGCAATTGTTTTATTTTTATAGAACAAACGCAAACGGGCAGAAAGCTCACCTGATGTTAAGTGATACCGCCGCCCATGGACACTCCAATGCCAGAGGGCTCGCGAGTGCGTTGCCGGCCTTTTAAGAATTTGTAGAATTTCTATTGGTATTCTATTATTAATAAATACTTTTTCAAACAGGTCACCCCACATGCCTGCAGTTTACAGCGAACATGATGGTTTCAATGCGGAAATACCGCTGGCAGTGCATCGAGTGCAAGTGCTGTTCGGTTTGTGGGAACAGCGATAATGATGTGAGATTTTTCAATACTTTAGTATGTTTGTAGCGGATGGATTTTTTTAAGACCATAACACTTCCAAAACATACTACGAATTCATTCTATTAAGCGTGAATTTGACAACCCAAGTATGGTTTCGTTATAGAGAAAACAGCTCGTAACTGGGTTATGAAAACCGAGCATTAAGAACCCTTAATATTTTCGACGAAAGTACCGCATTGAACTATTTATGATACGTGATTTATTTAAGGACTGGATACTTTGTATATTTTCGTTTTATGTAATAGTTATACCCATTTTAGTCAACAATAACTATTTGTTTATGGGCTCATGCACCAATTAATATGACACTAAAACTTAAGATTTTCTATTTATATTAAAAAATTGAATTATTCACATAAGAAACTTAAATCATAGGTTTTTGGAAAAAAATACTAGGAAGTTGTTAACGAAACTCAGATAGTAAATTTTCTTCTGATATTCAAATTCCAAATAATTTTGAAACAAACAACCCTTAACAATCAAATTGCCCCAAGGAATTACTTCAAACACGTTTTACATCAGCCATAATACTTAGATGTATA